AGGAATGCAAGTACAGGCAAAGCTCTGCATTCTTTCACCCTCCACCAGCAGCCTTCCTCCAGCATTTATGAAGCATTTAGGCTAATAATCCATACACTCTCTATGTACTACAAGGGATATTATGATTTTGTGTGTGTGTGATTATTTAAGTAATTTAAATAATAAAACGTGTCAAGTCAATTTTATTACGTTTTCATTGCAATCTTAGCATGATTTTGAGTGGAACTTTGTAGAAATTCAGAGGTTTGCGATGTAAAATTGTTGAAAAAAGCATTCAAATTCAGCATTCTATTCTGAATCCCATATTTTCAATATTTATTGTTTTTCTTCTTGTATATTTAAATATTTAATGCATATTTAATTAGTAAAATCTGCTTTAAATGTTCTAAATTCTAAACCGTATCCCTATTTCCTGTATAAAACAAAAACATAATTGAATTAAATTAAATTTCAGTGTTACATCAGACGTTTGGACTGTATTTCTATGGAAGCCCGTTTCCGCCACTGAATAAAAAAATAAAAAAAGGTCATTGCGACTTTTTATCTCACAATTCGTACTTTTTTTCACAGAATTGCGTGATATAAACTCACAATTGCGAGTTATAAAGTTAGAATTGCGAGATATAGTAAGAATTCTGACTTTTTTCCTCAGAATTGCGCGATATAAACTCACAATTGCGAGCTATAAAGTCAGAATTGCGAGATATAGTCACAATTGCGAGATAAAAACTCGCAATTCTGACTTTTTTTCTCGCAATTGCGAGTTTATATCTCGCAATTCGGACTTTTTTCTCAGAATTGCGTGATATAAACTCGCAATTGCGAGTTAAAGTCCAATTTTGAGGGGGGTAAAAAGACTGATATGTTCTCAGAATTGCGAGTTTATATCTCACAATTCTGAGAAAAAAAGTCAGAATTGTGAGATAAAAAGTCGCAATTACCTCTTTTATTTTTTATTCAGTGGCGGAAACTGGCTTCCATATATTTCAGACCTAACAGCCTAACTTCACTTTTTTTCTTTTTCTTTTTTTTTTAGATCACAATTATAGCTGTGCTGAAGAAATGACCAATCAATGAAAGCACATCTTTTGATTGACACGTCCAAAGAAGCGCTCAATCATATAAGTGGGCGGGACAATAAGGTTGTCGACGTTGTATAGACACGCCCACACAGCTGATTTAAGAGTCAGAGGGAGTTCGCTGAGAGAAGTGGGAGGAAACTAGAGTGCACAACGCCGGTGAGCAAACCGGAAAGTGTCTCAAACTCCAGAGATTTTCGGATAATTTTGTCGCATCCGTGTCATTCTCCGTAAAAACAGGTGATTTGGGGAAAGCAGGTCTTCTCAATAAAAGGCGCCTGAGAGAAAACAGGTGAGCTAACGTTTAATATTCAGTTACACTTAAGTTCTTCTCACCTGAGCGCACACCTGTACCTGTTCTGCACAATCAGACAATGCACGCGCGGAACCATGTTGCTGATAAAATTCTTTTTATGTTAGGGAAAAGGAATTTATTGCTATAGTCTTAATTTAGGGAGGCTTCGTGAAACATATTCAAAATTAGAATACCATAACATGTTGATACTTATATTATTATTATTATTTTATTGTTCTGCTGTCCAAAATAACGTAGCTACTAGAATGCACGAGCAACTCCGCTATCTGTAACATCTCAGTTCTGGTCTGTGCAACACGCCCAGTCTGCATTGAGGCCTGTGTGTGTGTGTGTGTGTGTGTGTGTGTGTGTGTGTGTGTGTGTGGTAGAAACACAGTATATTAAATATAGATAAAATACCAAAAATATTGATAATACACCAAATAAAAAAGAATAAGAAAAAAAAATCCAAGTAAACAAGTAAATGTGGAAAAGTTTAGGGAAATATACTGTTAAAAATAATGATACTATAATAAAAAAAAAAAAAAAAATGAAGATTAATCAGA